CACATCCCGGTTTAAAGGGATGTTTCATCAGAACCGGGAGCTGTTCTGTTTTGGGCTGTCCGCTCAGGAAAGATGACAAACCCAATGGCAGACACAGTGGCCTTCAGGTGGTCTGCGTGCGGCGCCCGAGAAGCTCATTGTGCGACCGGTGTCAGAGAGGAACTGTTTTAGTTTCTAAAATATGTTTTTATGGATGTCACAGAGGAAGGGAGCGGGAGAGAGAGAGAGAAACATCCAGGATGAGAGAGAATCGTCGATCGGCTGCCTCCTGCACGGCCCACATTGAGGATGGAGCCCACAACCCGGGCCTGGGCCCTGACCGGGATTCAAACCGTGACCTCCTGGTTCACAGATTGATGCCCAATCCTGAGCCACGCCGGCCGGGCAAGAAAAGGAAATATTTTAATTAAAGAATATAAATAAACATGAGACTCGGCCCCCTGGCCGTGGCTTCTCGGAGACCCGGCAGGTGTTGGGGGGGGACGCGTGCCCGCTCAGAACCAGTGGCCGGCCGCCGTGGCTCCCGACCCGCCGTGGCGCGGCCGTCACGCACCCTGGGCCGGAGCTGCGCCTCAGCTGCACTGAGCGTCCACTGCAGCGAGGACAGTTACGCGGCTTGCCAGACACCGGAGAGTGCAGAGAGCATCCCTTCATTAGCAGCAGCTTGGGCCCAAGTGCAGGCATGCAGGTCCCTCCAGCTGGTGTGAGTGCCCCCCCCCCTTTCTTGGCCCCTTCACCAGGGGGAGACCAGCTACCCCAATCGGCTTTCTCTTTTCTTTTCTCTTTTTCTTTTTTTAAAATATTTTATTGATTTTTACAGAGAGGAGGAGAGAGGGATAGAGAGTTAGAAACATCAATGAGAGAGGAGCATCGAACAGCCACCTCTTGCACACCCCCTACTGGGGATATGCCCGCAACCAAGGTACATGCCCTTGACCGGAATCGAACCCGGGTCCCTTCAGTCCCCAAGCCAACGCTCTATCCATTGAGCCACACCGGTTTCGGCCTACCCCACTTGGCTTTCAAGACCCAGCTCAGACTCAGGAAGAAGCAGCTCTCCAGCACAGCCCCCCCTCCCCCCAGCCCGGGCTGTGTTCCCATAGCACTCCGTCCCGCTAGCATTTGCCTTATCCATTTACCTGTCTCCCTGTCATCATGAACAGGGACGGTGTCTCGCCCCGGACTCATCATTTATCTCCTGTGCTGAGCACAATGACGGGACGGAGCGGCTGCTCACTAAATGTTTGTCAAATGAGTGATGGCTTGTGACTTCAATGAGAATTGATGGTGCCCCTTCTGGTCTGTCATCCATCATCCACGGAGCGAATTAGGACCGGGAGGCTCTCCGCGGAGCCCCTGCCTAGAGGATGGAAGGAGTGGCAGCGGCCAGCCGGGCTGGAATGGGGGAGTCGCTGCCCTCTATGGAGTATTTACCACGGGCAGGTCTCTGCCGCAGGCCTTTTCATTGTGTTAACGCCCTTAGTGCTCAGATCGGGCTGCTCAGATCATCTGCTGGTTTTCCCGGAGGCCAAGGAGCAATAGAAAGCTCAGTAATAGCCACCCCCGCCCTTTTAGCTCCCGTGAAGAAGGAAGTCCTGAGGGTTAGACATCTATCTTATCTAAGGCTGTGACTGCTTTCTGTATCTCTGGGAGGGTCCTAGGAGGAAGCAGTCACACCGATGGGGGTAGAGATGGGGCAGATGGTACTCTGTTCTGAGGTGCCTACAATCTAGGGAGACGTTCAGACTGTCCGATCACGAGGTCCGGTCATGTCACAGCATCAGCGCTTTGCAGGGATCACTGCCAAACTCTGAGCTCTGTCCCATCCCGGGCCCATTCACAGCCCAAGACCTCCCTGGGCAGGCGTCCGAGAACCAGCCGGAGCCGCTGAGAAACGTGGTGCTTGTTTGTAAAGAAGTAGAACCCGCCCTCACCTGTTTGGCACTTGCCCGGGTGGCAGGCTCGATCCCCAGGTGTTTGTGTGTCTCTTTTCCTCTCCCTTCCTCTCTGAAATCAATTTTTTAAAAATGTATATATTTTTAAAAATCAGAATACCTACAGGGAACTGCAAGCCATCTGGTAAAAACAGACAGCCTGAAGGCAGGAGGGGGCGTGGTGGGAATGGGGCTCACCCTGGGGTCTTTGAAGACTTTTGGGCGGATGAGTGAGGGGATCTGACAACAGGGTGGAGACCGAGTTGGAAGAAAGGAGCCTGGGATCAGGCAGGACGGGAGGAGGCCAGCTCCTGTCTGCACAGAGGCGGTGGGCGGGAGAGAAGGCGGTCACAGAGCCGTACCCGATGCCAGTGGGACCGAGGGAGAGAGGATCAAGGACGCCCGTGTGTCAAGCCCGAGCACCGGGGTTTCCTTTAAAGGAGAGAGAGGACTCGGCAGAAGCTGCAGGTTTCAAGGGGAACAGAGAGCCATTAAATTTTTAGACAAGATAAGTGACGGTGCCTGAAGAAACCCAGTAAAAACGACCTAAATGCATTTGATGCAAAGTCTTTGCTCTGGTTAGAAAATAAGACGATCTTTAAGGGATTAGGAATTTTTTCCTTTAGATTAACGCTAACCACCAACATGTTGTCTACCTACCCGAGGATGCACTCTTCAACATGCCCTCCCCCACAAGACACATGAGGCTTGCTCAGTCCTCACTCGGGGTTCTACTTTTTCTTTTCTTTTTTAATATATATTTTATTGATTTTTAAAAATATATTTTATTGATATTTTACAGAGAGGAAGGGAGAGGGATAGAGAGTTAGAAACATCCATGAGAGAGAAACATCCATCAGCTGCCTCCTGCACACCCCACACTGGGGATGTGCCCGCAACCAAGGTACATGCCCTTGACCGGAATCGAACCTGGGACCCTTCAGTCCGCAGGCCGACGCCTTATCCACTGAGCCGGACCAGCTAGGGCCGTAAGTTAAAAATCCAAGCAGGGCATTTTGAATCAGTGTGAGAACTTTTCCCCCTTTCCTCCCTGGGAACAAAGACATGGGCTCTGTGTTCAGCAAGGATAGTCTTGCATTTTGAAAGCAAAGAAATAGGAAGGAATACAAGAAAACTGCATTAATGCGGTATTACGCTTGAGAACTTAAACTCCCAAGTCAGGACATTCCCTCGTCATCCATTCCCTGTGCAGCTTCCTTCAGATGCCCGAGCATCCCGTCTGCAGCCCCTCTGGGCCATGCCTCGGTGCCGCGGTGCGGTGCCAACCGTGCCGCCCGCGCCGTATCCCCGCCTGTCCGCGGCTGTGCCTTAGGGAGGGTTTGGAATTACTTTGATCTTGGCCCTTGGGTGTTTAACTTCTCCAAGCTAATGCCTGGGTTTTTTAATTTTTTAAAAAAAATTTTTATTGTTCTATTATCTTGTAGCAAGGTAGTCATTTATAATTTATATACTGTGTACCGGCTTAAAATAGAGACAAGAGAATGCTCAGCGTCCCGAAGCTTCTGGTTTTCCAAAATAACATTTCTCCGGTGCCGTCTGCCTGGAGGAATGAAACCTGCGGAGCGTTGAAAAGCCCTTTGTCCTGTTGTCAGACAGGGACGCGCTGTGCCGGCGAGCGGTGTGAAGCCCTGCCGAGGGGGAGAGGGTCATTTTTTAAAAAAATTGTCACTTGATTTTATTCCCTGCGAAATAATTTCTGAAGACGGCAGCCTCGGTCGGGTCTCGGGGGCCTCGCTGAAGTCACAGGGAGGGGCCAAGGGCAGAGCGGGAAGGACGGATGGGAGACACGGCCCCGGCCAAGGACAGCGGCCGGACGCAGCCAGCCACTTGTCTGCTGCGGTTTGGAGTCCTTCCAGCCGGGCTGCCACTTGGCTCTGCCATTGGCCTGCGGGCCGGGGAGAGGGACGGCCCCAGAGAACACGCTGTCCATTCACAGATATTAAAAATAGAAGCCTCCGTGAGAAGTCCTCTATAATGCAGGGCTTAGCCAAAGCCAATCGGCTATCAGAGGCCTGTCTTACTGTTTTCCTCTTTGCTTTTATACCAGGTCATCTAAACCCTAATTATTCCCTCCTTCCTTTTCATTATGCACCTTTAGAGTGCCAGGAACTGGGGAGAGATTTCTTTTTTATTTATTTACTTATTATTATTATTATTTTTATTTTATTTTAGAGAGGAAGAAAGAGGGAGAGAGAAACATCCATGATGAGAGAGAATAATCAATTGGCTGCCTCCTGCTTGCCCCACATTGGGGGTCAAGCCCACAGCCTGGGCAGGTTTCCTGACCGGGAACCGAACCTTGGGCCTCCTGGTTCATAGGTCGACGCTCAACCACTGAGCCACACTGGCCGGCCTGGGTGGAGATGCCTAGTGAGGCGGACGGAGAGCTGGGTCTGCAGTCAAGTGGTCTTGTTCTGGCGTCCGGCGACGCTGTCATTGAGTCCCGAGATCATTCTCACTCTGCCCCCTGTGCTGTGACATGTCTCACACGCTCATGACTGTGCCTGGGGAACATGTGAATGCCCACCTGGGACCTGGGGCCCTTGGGGGAGGGGGGAGCCGTGGCCCACGGGCAGTTTGGGAACAAGCTGGGTGATTTAGCTCGAAAGCCACCAGGTGGCAACATTTACTAAACCGCCGGGCGTTTTCTTTCCCCACGAAGACGGGGAGCTTGATTTTCCAGCTGCGAGTTTGGACGGCTGCTGTGAGGCCAGGTCCTCATCGGTCTCCGTTCGTCCCCAGTTCAGACGCTGAGAGTCTGACATTGCTCCGTGCGGGCAAGCGGCCTCCCCTTGGCCCCCCGTTCCACATCGCGATCGGAGTGGACTGACTCGTCTCTCACGTTGTCTTTCTCCAGGATTTATGACTGTGGTTACAGCGTCTTTTCCCAGGCCGCTTTAAAGAAGTTCTGGTCAAACCAGCCTTGACATTTTTTTCTATCCACTCATCTGCTGAGGGGCACTTGGCTGTTTCCAGATCTCAGCTGCTGCGAGGAACGCTGGCTCACAACGTGTTTTTTTTTTTCTTTCTCCTCGTGGTTTGCAGATGAAGTGGAAGGGGAAGGACCTGTTTGACCTGGTGTGCCGGACGCTGGGGCTGCGGGAGACCTGGTTCTTCGGGCTGCAGTACACCATCAAGGACACCGTGGCCTGGCTCAAAACCGACAAGAAGGTTGGGCCGGACGCGGGTGAAACCTGAGGGGCCGGTGTGCGCGCCGGTGCCTGCCTGAGCCGGGGCCCAGCGTGTCTGCTCCTCGCGGGGCTGGGGGTGTCCAGGGCAGAGAAGAGGGCTTCCACCCCGCCCCGGGCTCTGCTGGGCACACGGAACCCCCCCGCCGTCAAACTGCGCCCCCCCCCCCCCACCGGCTGGCCGCTCACGGAGCCCCTAGCCAGGCTGTGTGAATAAAAGTGCCATCACGTTACTTAGGATATACGTCGTTGAAAGGTTTCCTTGGGGCGCGTGTGCTTTATGAGATTTCTTTTTTTATTTTTTTGTGTTTTTTTAAATATATTTTTATTGATTTCAGAGAGGAAAGGACAGGGAGAGAGAGATAGAAACGTCCATGATGAGAATCACTGATTGGCTGCCTCCTGCACGCCCCCGACTGGGGGCGTCAGGAAGTCCACTGTGACCCACGTTAACGGGGACTGGGAGCCCGTCACGTGGCGCGCTTACGGCCTGGAGGGAGACTGTTCTGGAGAGCAGATGGCGCAGGCTTTTCGGGGGGCGGATGGGGTTGCGGGAAGATGAAAGGCGTGCGGCGTACTGCCTGCGCCCAAGTGCTCTCGTGGGGCGTCTCTGAGGTTCCTGGAAACAGGGTCGCCACGGGGGACAGTGTCACGTCTCCTGCTTCGCTGGTGTTCAGCGGGTTTGACGGAGATGTAGTTCATCGCCCTAAGCTCCATTCCAGCACGGTCCTGAATGGTGGGGGCTGTTGGCAGCAAGAAAAGGGAATAAAGGACTATCCCACTACTTTCAGAAAAATTAGAGAAAAACATTCCGCCTGCCAGAAAGGGCAGCAGCCCAGGACCCGAGACCTCTGGCCTGGAGAACACGTGTGTCTTAATCTCTCCTCACCCCGTGGGCACACATTCATTAGCTTGGCTCAGAAAGGCCATTGGAAGTCATACTTCTTGTTAATCACAACCTCTGGGAAATGTGATGAATTTATTACTTTTTAAAAATACATGTTTATTGATTTCGGAGAGGAAGGGAGAGAAAGAGTGAGAGAGAAACATCCATGATGAGAAGAGAGTCATGGATCGGCTGCCTCCTGCATGCCCCCCACTAGGGATTGAGCCTGCAACCTGGGCATGTGCCCCTGCCTGGGAATCGAACCAGGACCTCCTGGTTCATAGGTTGACACTCAACCATTGAGCCACACCGGCTGGACACGTGATGAATTTAGAGGGGGAAATATTTGTACGCTCCCCGCGAGAGGTTCTTCGGTGGGGGTACCGGGCCGGGGGTGGGGAGGGACGCCAATGTCGGGTTGTCTTCCGCTCTGTGGTCTGCAGGTGCTGGATCACGATGTCTCCAAGGAGGAGCCGGTCACCTTTCACTTCCTGGCCAAGTTCTACCCCGAAAACGCCGAGGAGGAGCTGGTGCAGGAGATCACGCAGCATCTGTTCTTCCTGCAGGTGCGGTGTCCGTGCTCCCTCTCGGGCTCCAGGACGCCCCCCGGGCTCCGGGACGCCCCTCTGGCTCCGGGACGCCCCCCGGGCTCCGGGGACGCCCCTCTGGCTCCGGGACGCCCCCCGGGCTCCGGGACGCCCCTCGGGCTCCGGGACCCCCCCCCCCCGGGCTCCGGGGACGCCCCTCGGGCTCCGGGACGCTCCTCTGGCTCCGGGACGCCCCCCGGGCTCCGGGACGCCCCTCGGGCTCTGGGACGCCTCTCGGGCTCCGGGACGCCCCCCGGGCTCCGGGACGCCCCCCGGGCTCCGGGACGCTCCTCTGGCTCCGGGACGCCCCCCGGGCTCCGGGACGCCCCTCGGGCTCTGGGACGCCTCTCGGGCTCCGGGACGCCCCCCGGGCTCCGGGACGCCCCCCGGGCTCCGGGACGCTCCTCGGGCTCTGGGACGCCCCTCGGGCAGGTGGCAGAGGCCATAACGGGCCTGCGGGAGGAAGACTGTGCTCGCATCCCCAGAGCTGACCCCGAGGCCTCACATGGTGACAAGGTCCCGCCCCCAGAAAGCCGGTCCTTTCGTTTCTGAAATGGACCACGCCTTTAGGATAGGAGGAGATTTTTTAAAAATTAAATATATTTTATTGATTTTTTTACAGAGAGGGAAGGAAAGGGATAGAGAGTCAGAAACATCGATGAGAGAGAAACATCGATCAGCTGCCTCCTGCACAACCCCCCCGCCCAGGGGATGTGCCCGTAACCAAGGTACATGCCCTTGACCGGAATCGAACCCGGGACCGTTTGGTCCGTCCTCAGGCCGATGCTCTGTCCACTGAGCCAAGCTCGGCTCATCCCGGTTGTCACCATGAAGACCGTCTCTCCTCCTCAGCACTTGATCGTGAACAGAAGCGATGAGGGGTGTTCAGGCATGGCCGTCTCACCAGCAGCTTCTCCACCTGAGCTCCCCCCTGTCTGCAGCAATAAAATAAAATAAAAATCGTACCCTCTGTCCGCGGCACTGGCAGGCGGCCTCATCGGGATGCCCGGCGGCCGTCCGCCTGACCAGCTGCGCGGCTCACGGCCGTGTCCCCTGTCGCCTTCAGGTGAAGAAGCAGATCTTGGACGAGAAGATCTACTGCCCGCCCGAGGCCTCTGTGCTGCTGGCTTCCTACGCCGTCCAGGCCAAGGTGGGCTCCCAGCGGAGGAACTCGTTTTGCGGGGCAGGAAGTGTCGCGCGCGGGGTCGCACCAGTCGCCTGCTTCTTGGGGTTTTCTAGACTTAAGGGAGGCTCTCCGCAGCTGGCGGGGTGGGGAACCAAGTCTCACTTCTGTATGAGCCCATGAGCATGTGTGTACAAGTGAGTGTGTGAGTGTGTGTGTGTGTGTACAAGTGTGTGAGTGTGTGTGTGTACAAGTGAGTGTGTGAGTGTGTGTGTGTGTGTACAAGTAAGTGTGTGAGTGTGTGTGTGTACAAGTAAGTGTGTGTGTGTACAAGTAAGTGTGTGTGTGTACAAGTAAGTGTGTGTGTGTGTATACAAGTGTGTGTGTGTGTACAAGTAAGTGTGTGAGTGTGTGTGTGTACAAGTAAGTGTGTGTGTGTGTGTGTGTACAGTAAGTGTGTGAGTGTGTGTGTGTGTGTACAAGTAAGTGTGTGTGTGTGTGTACAGTAAGTGTGTGAGTGTGTGTGTGTGTGTGTGTACAAGTAATAAGTGTGTAGCTTGATAACTTTTCTTTGTAATCTCATTGTGCACGCATGGTTCCTTACACTTACTGAACCAACCTCTCCTTTTTCTCTCTTTTTTCTTTTTCTTTATTTTAAAATATGTTTTTGTTGATTTTAAAGATGAAGGGAGAGGGGGGGAGAGAGAGAGAGAGAGAGACATCAATGATGAGAGAGAAACATCGATCAGTTGCCTCCTGCACACCCATTACTGCGGATGTGCCCACAACCAAGGTACATGCCCTTGACCGGAATCAGACATGAGAGGGACCCTTCAGTCCGCAGGCCGACGCTCTATCCACTGAGCCACACCGGTTACAGCAGAATTAGGGCGTCTTGATGACTGTTGTGATTTTTGTATCATCTTCTGCTAGTATTTTCCTTTGCAGTTAGACGTGTCTGTCCCCTAATGCCATATCCTTACAGCGTTACCAAAACGAATAAAACGATCTTCACTTCTTAGCCTGCTTTTCCTGATGTAGCTTCATGCGATGTCAGGTCAAAGTCAGGAGGTAACCGGTTAGCCTGTCACTGGAGGAGAAAGGAGTCTGTACCTGCTAGTCAGACCGATGAGCCGGGGAGTCATTGGGTGACTCGGAGTCCTCTGACGCCTGGGCTGGCGGTGGCAGGGTGCTCACGCCCCGAACCAGTGGGTGTTGATTCTGTCGCAGTACAGACTAAGCCGTGTGCCCAAGGTCATCCGGGCAATCTTGGGGTATAGCTAACGGCAGAATTCATGGCCCTGGGATTATATTTTGTGCCGCCCCCTATTCCGCTGCCCAGATAAATGAGTCATTGGGGGAAAGAAAAGGAAAAAAAGAAAAAAAAGGTCCACAGAAAATGGGCCTTGATTCACCGAGGCCATATGCTTCCTTTTATGCTTTGATTAAGAATATTAATAACAGGAAAATGTGCCCTTTCCATCAGCATCACCCTGACGGCGATGAAGCAGTCATTGTCGCCCTCATTAATCCAAGCACTTCCTGGCCCGGAACGGAGTTCCTGTTTAGCACGCTCTCTCCCCAGCTGAGCGGACACCCCCTCTTTCCTTGAAGGGCTTCCATCTCAAAGGCTGCCTTTTCTGTGCATGGATTTTGGGCCAAACATTCAAAGGCCGTGTGTGTGTGTGTGTGTGTGTGTGTGTGTGTGTGTGTTTGTGGGGGGAGGGGACTTGGAGCCAGCAGATGTTTGCTTAAACAGATTTCACTAGGAAAGCCCTCCTCATTTAGAGATGAAAGTGAATCACAGAGCACATATGTGGCTCATATGGAGGAGGATGTTCTGTGTGGTTTTTTTTGTTTGTTTGTTTTTCTTTCTGGTGTAAATTCTCGGGAATCTCACAAATAAAGCAATTAAGAAGTTGGGTGTATGTAAGATACATGTGAAGCAGTGGTTCTCAGCCTTTCTAATGCTGAGACCCTTTCATACGGTTCCTCGTGTTGTGGTGACCCCCAACCATAACATTATCTTCGTTGCTACTTCACAACTGTAATTGTGCTGCTGTCATGAACCGTAATGTAAATATCTGTGCTAGCAGTTCTCAACCTGTGGATCCTGTGCATGTAAATTTTATCTCAATTAGAAAAAATAGGTGTGGCCACATTACCCTCCAGCATGACTTCTAAGAACGGTGTGTGAGAATACCTGTCCTCCGCATCCTCATGCTGTCAGTCTTTTCCCCATCTGCTGATGTGACAGAAAAAAAATATATAGATTTTTCAGTTTTCATTTCCTTGCTGACCGGTTGGGGCTGAGCGTCCTTTCACAGATTTACTTTTCTCTGTGAGGCTGGTGCTTAGGATCTGCAAGTTTTTCTCCTCCACGGCTTACCTTTTCCTCGTTGATTTATAGGAGCTCCGTTTACGATGGGTATTAACCTTTTATCTTTTTTTTAACGTGTCAGACTGTCAATCTCTTGCTGTCTTGAGTGACTTTTTAGAATGGCTTTACCCACCATTATTATACACATGTCCGTCTACATTTCGTCCTGGTATTTTGATGCTTTTCACTAATGGTTTAAGGCTTCCATCCATCTGTGATCTGGTGCCGGAGGTGCATGCGGTAGGGATCTGATTATCCATGCGATATGTGTATTGATGAAATCTTTTGTTTTGTGAGATCCCGTTCGGAGCGTTTTGTCTGATTTCCCATGCATATAGGCAGGGGAGAGCATTTAACCTCCGGAAGGACATTCAGTAGGCACTGACTCCCAAAACCCCATGCATGGCGATCTCCTGTCTTGAATTTAAACTCAGTTGGCTTATAATCAGGGGTGGATCCAGGGTTTGTGCGGCCTGAAGTTTCCATAACTTCAGGAGTTTTGTTTTGTTTTTTTCAACCCAAGAATACTAATGATGCGTATAAAGCTGGGCACAGAGCCTTGAAACCCCAAGCTTGGTCCCCAGCTACCGTCTCGGGATGCGATGCTTTTGGACATAAAAGGCGGAGGACAGCCGGCTCTACCTGTGCCGCCCCGACTCCCTTTATCTCCGCCAGCTGCCACACCTAAGGGTTTTCTTCTTCTTTTGTTTCTTAAAGGCTCATTATAGAGCCGAAGCTCACATCCAGGCGGCTTTCATGTGGCGAGTGGAGTCGGCTCGGGCTCCGTCAGCAGCCCTTTTCTGCCTCCGCACAGCTCACACGTAACCTATTTGATCGGCGGAGTCGCCGGGAGCTCAGTATGATAATGTGGGTCGTTAATCTTAGGAGCCTCTGGAACCTGGATTTACAGCCTGCACTCTGCATATCTGCTTACTTGTGCACTACGGCCCGGCCAGCGCTCCTGGGAGGCATGCAAATGCGGCGAGCCTCCTGCCCCTGGGAAAACCCGGCCGGTCTGGCTCAGTGGGTGGAGCGTGGGCCAAGGGTGCAGGCCGGGCTGCGGCCGGATCACCCATTGGACGTGATCAGGAAGATGGCCAGTCAGCGATTCTCTCTCATCATGGATCTTTCTTTCTTTCTTTCTTTCTTTTTCAAATGTATTTTATTTATTTTAGAGAAGAAGGTTTCGGCTCAGCCTTTCTTTTGTCTTCCCCTTGTTAGTGGCTGCAGGGATACACGTTTATAGAAGATTGTCCTGAAACACCGAGCTTTGTGGGTTTGGTCCCAAGGAAAGCCACCGAACGCTGATTGACCAGAGACAGGCTTTGGTTTTTATATTCTCCAGGTTTCCTAGTTCGTTCCTGTTTTAAAACGCCATCATTTCTCCTTGTCATCATTATTATCTCCTGGGCAGACAACGTGCCCTGAGAAAGAAAAGATTATCTTTCTTCCATCGGAAAGTAAATCTCCGAGTCCCTGTCCTCGGAGAACGCACTGAGAGCAGGGCCCGGGGCCTGCTCTGCGGCTTTCCCTCGTGTCTTTGTCCGGGTGACACACGTGAGTGACAGCGCTGGCGTCGCATCTTCCCCGAGCGGTTTTATTTTTCAGAGCCTTGAGTGAAAGGCATTAAACAGGCCGCCGGCCACTTAGCAGCCATCGGCAGGGACAGGCCCTATCAACGGCCACGGTCGCGTCTCGTTGCTTTATTTCCGCTGCTGTCTCTGCCGGTTTAGAAACCACGGCCCCCTCTCCCTGCGAATGTCACATTTTCATTAGCGCGGCGCCCAGAGATGTAATCAGCTCGGAGTTTCCATTCGGGCATCACACGCTAGCAAGGTTGAAATCTTGACTTGTCATCAGGATTGGATTGCTCCCTGGAGCCGGGAGGGAATTGAGCCAGGAGTCCAGCTGTTCGGAAAATGACAGTTGTCTCTCGCATCTCAACCGCCCGCTCTCCCTCTCTTCTCTCCGCAGTACGGCGACTACGACCCCTCTGTGCACAAGCGGGGATTTCTGGCCCAAGAGGAATTGCTTCCGAAAAGGGTGAGGCATCCCGTTCCCCGTTTGGGGGGGAGATCTCAACCGAAGAGCGTGAAGGAATAACGGAAGGACGTGGCAATAATGTTATTACAGATGTTTTGTCATCATTCTTTGTTTCTCATTTAACAAATATATTTGGCCCTAGCTGACTTAGTTCAGTGGATAGAGCATCAGCCTGTGGACTGAAGGGTCCCAGGTTCAATTCCAGCCAAGGGCATATGCCTGGGTTGTGGCTCGGTCCCCAGTGGGGGGTTGCAGGAGGCAGCCAATCCATGATTCTCTCTCATCATTGATGTTTCTATCTCTCCTCCCTTGCTCTCTGAAATCAATAAAAAATTATATTTAAAAAAAATATATATATTTATTTATTTTTATTGATTTCAGAGAGGAAGGGAGAGGGAGAGGGAGGTAGAAACATGAATGATGAGAGAGCATTATTGATCAGCTGCCTACTGCGTATCCCCGACTGGGGATTGAACCTGCAACCCGGGCCTGTGTCCTGACCGGGAATCGAACCGTGACCTCCTGGTTCATAGGTTGACACTCAATCACTGAGCCACGCTGACTGGGCTGTAGTCGATCTTGAGTGAAGAGTACAGAATCTGTTAAGAATATTAAAAAAGGAAAGGTTCATGGAATGAGTTTGGGGCTGCCAGGACTCACGTGGCCTGCAAACGGTCCTTTTTCCCTCCCCCAAATATATTTTTATTGATTTTAGAGAGGAAGGGAGAGAGCCAGAGAGATAGAAACATCAGTGATGAGAGAGAACCATCCATTGATTGGCTGTCTCCTATCAAGCCCTTAACTCGGGCCTGTGCTCCTGGCTGGAATCGAACCTGGGACCCTTCAGTCCACAGGCCGACGCTCTATCCACTGAGCCAAACCGGTCAGGGCAGGGTGGCTTTTTGAAAATAGCCGAGCTGTTCTGTCCAAGTGATGCGTCATGATAAACACGGCACACAATACCGAACCTCCGTGCGTGTACATTGTGTATGTGTGTTTATATTGCCCTCTCTTCCGCCAGGTAATCAATCTGTATCAGATGACTCCGGAAATGTGGGAGGAGAGGATCACAGCCTGGTACGCGGAGCACCGAGGCCGGGCCAGGTGAGGCAGCTTCCTTTTTGATTTATATTCCTTTATGGGCTTTTTTATTTTTTAACAAATGACAAAACTAGGACGTGCTTGTTGCACAACGTGCATTACTGGAGTATCTGAACGGAGAGAGAGAGCTAGGAGTATGTTCGGTTTTGTAGGAATCCTTTTCCCAGCGCCTGTGAGCCGGGAACTTCCTTCCGCCGGGGTGTGCTGGCCTGTGTTTGCTGGTGATCTCGTTCCCTTTTGAGAATTCCGCCGCAGAGAGACATCCCACAGCGTTTGTGCTGATTTCTCTGCCGGTGGCATGTGGAGCAGCTGGAGGCTTCTCACTTGTACAAAGCGTGCTGCGGTGTGCACCGTGTTACATAACGGTCTGCGTGATTCGCCCGTGGGTTGCTCAGAGGAGTTGCTGAGTCAGAGGGTGCATTCTGAGTTTTGACAGGCGCCGCCGGATTGCCCCCCAAAGCGGTGGTACCTGTTCACGTGCCCATCAGCAGTGTGTGAGTGTCTCCCCGCCGCCCCCCCCACGCTCTCCCCAACACCTGCTTTTGTTTTTGTTTTTTAATTATTTTTATTGATCTTAGAGAGGAGAGGAGAGGGATAGAGAGAGAGAGAAACATCAGTGGTGAGAGAGAATCATTGATCAGCTGCCTCCTGCATGTCCCCTACTGGGGATCGAGTCTGCGACCGGGGCATGTGCCCTTGACCGGAATCGAACCCGGGACCCTTCCACCCGTGGGCCGGCGGACGCTCTGTCCACTGAGCCAGACCGGCCGGGGCTGCTCCCTCTGTGGATGCGGATGCGGATGCGGATGCGGATGGGAGGTCCTGCTGGACCTCGCCGTGTCTCACAGACTCCGTGTCAGGAAGAGCGTCGCTGGGCGCTGCTCTGACTCCCTGAGCACCCAGCGTGGTGAGCGCCTGCTCCAGCTTCCGCTCAGCTCCTGTCTTCCCTGCCCCGCAGGGACGAGGCGGAGATGGAGTATTTGAAGATCGCGCAGGACCTGGAGATGTATGGCGTGAACTACTTCGCCATCCGGGTACGTGAAGCTTCTCCGAGTTCCCCGCGTGCAGACAGACAGACAGACCCCGGGACCCACAGCGGACGCGGTTCCTCTCTCACTCTGGGCCGGAGGCTCTTTTTTGTTTTTGTTTTTTTAAATATATTTTTATTGACTTCAGAGAGGAAGGGAGAGGGAAAGAGAGAGAAACATCAATGATGAGAGCGAACCATCCCTCGGCTGCCTCCTGCATGCCCCCCACTGGGGATGCGCCCGCAGCCAAGGCGCACGCCCTTCCTGGCCGTGGGGCCGGGGGAGAGCCTGACGGGGCCGCTCTCTGTCGAATCCACAGAACAAGAAGGGCACGGAGCTGCTGCTCGGCGTGGATGCGCTGGGGCTTCACATCTACGACCCCGAGAACAGGCTGACCCCCAAGATCTCCTTCCCGTGGAACGAGATCCGAAACATCTCCTACAGCGACAAGGAGGTAGGGTCTGTCCGCTCACAGCTGCACCCGGGGCCCGGCCGCAGGCCTGCCTTCCCCATCCCCCCCTGGCTGCGGGGTCCCCAGGCCTCCTCCCCCACCTCCCCTCCTGACTGCGGGGTCCCCAGGCCCCCTCCCCCCCCCCCTGACTGCGGGGTCCCCAGGCCCCCTACCCGCCCCTCCTGGCTGCGGGGTCCCCAGGCCCCCTCCCCCACCTCCCCTCCTGGCTGTGGGTCCAGGCCCCCCCCTCCTGACTGCGGGGTCCCCAGGCCCCCTCCCCCACCTCCCCTCCTGGCTGCGGGGTCCCCAGCCACGCTCCTCCTGTTGCAGGAAAGTCATTTCATGCTCAGGCTGTGGTGTTAGGTTATGGATTTCTATAGCATTTACAGGATAGTATTGGCATTCTATTTCAAAGAGCATCCCTCCACTCCCTCCCCTGCCCTGCCCTGCCCTGCCCTGCTGACGAACAGCCCGTCAGCACTGAGCCCCAAAGGACAAGCAGTAAACCAACCCCAACGTAACCATTTCTTATGGCTTGGCTTTCTGTTTTTGGTGAGAAATTCTCTTTGCCTTTTAAGTGTGGTAGATATTAAACCCTTTCTCTGTGTCCAGTTTGTACGTATGGTGGGGGTGTGAGTGTGCGTGTGTGTATGAGAGAAAGAGAGAGAGAGAGAGAAAGTATCAACAGTAACTAATGATATCAGGCTAACCTGCTTACCAGAAATTGAGGATAATTAAGTTTAAATCACTTAGGTCAACACTCTAAGAATTCTAATACTTCTCTACAGCATCTCCCAAAGGCTGTAATCCTGCATTCATTGGCTTGTCCACTTATTCACTCTTCGTTAGTTTTAAAGGGATCGCTGAGCATCTGGGAATGAGAGGAGCACAGGCCCCCAGTTCCTCATGCGGGGCTGCGACCTGCTTGTCCAGGCGTGACGAGACAGATTGGGCTTCTTTTTAAAAATATATATGTTTTTAATTGACGTTAGAGAGGAAGGGAGAGGGAGAAAGAGATAGAAACATCAATAATGAGAGGGAATTATTGATCAGCTGCTTCCTGCACGCCCCACCCTGGGATCAAGCCTGCAACCCAGACATGTGCCCTGACCCATGACCAGGAATCGAACCGTAACCTCCTGGTTCATAGGTCGACACTTAACCACTGAGCCATGCTGGCCGGGCCAGACTGAGCTTCTTAACTCAAAACATCCTGGCTTTCAGATTTTGGTTAGCAGCCCAGGCGATGAGCATTTAGGGATTTTTTTTTAAGTATTAAATGGCAAGCTCCACATGACTTCAAGCAGTCGGTGTGCCAGGGGAGGGTAGTTTTTCATTTCTACTTTTATGGAGGCTGTCTACTGCCCACCCACACATGCGTGTGCTGACGGCTCCCCGAAACCCTGGTCCTCCCAGAACCCAAGGACTCAAGTCTCCCTTAGGGGTGGCCTGACACCCTAAACCCTAACACCTACCCCCTCTCCGGGCGCAAGACGCCCTCTCGCTCCGTCCCATCAATAACGCGCGCCGTAAGGAGACCCCAGACCGACTGGACTTAATAGGAAGTAGCCCGAGTAGTTCTGTATGGCAGTTCTGTATGGAAACGTTGTTGGTTTATTTTAAGCGACTCATTGATTCTCCGTGCGGCCCTGGCATGGCACAGAGCCCGCGGTCTCCACACAAAGCGTGGTTTCCCGCTGACAGCTCCGGGATTTGACAGCAAGGCCAGAAATAAGCTTTCAGAATTCACCAACAGCAGCCTACGCGGGAGCAATACCGCTTCTAAATTAACTTGACCGAAAGCTACACGGAGGATTATTTTCTGTCCTCGCAGTGCCTAACCCGCCGTTGGACAATATAACCTGAGAAAGAAATTCCGGAGAACACATCTCCCCAGACCCATTTGTCTGCGCAGCAGGTGTTTCTTGGGAATAGATACCCGTGTTTTTAAGGGCATCTTTGAAATGTAGGATCTGTCTGGTTTCATCAGGAGTGGTTGAAGACAACCGTTGCCACTTGTTCTTTTTAAAATATATATATATTTCTTACTGATTTCAGAGAATAAGGGAGAGGGAGAGGTAGAAACATCAGTGATGAGAGAGAATCATTGATCGGCTGCCTCCTGTAAGCCCCACCCTGGGGATTGAGCCCACAACCCGGGCCTGTGTCCTGACCAGGAATCGAACCGTGAGCCCCACTGGTCAAGCCATCCTATCTTCTAACTTCTGTACGTATTATTCGCCAGCATAAGTCCCTCCTACTCGTGGTAGGTCCGCTCTGAATCCCCCAGCACATCTGTGACTTGTGCCCCCCAATGAGGCACGGATATGTGATGTGACTCATCCAGTAATTGCCTGTGGTTAGTCTAGTTCCACTTGGTTGTGAGCCTGAGTCAGGGCCATGACTTCGAGTCTGGCATGGCTCTTCCCGTGTCAGCCCGGAGCTTGGGCCCATCAGGGTTTATATTTCAGGTTTCCCAGCCCACAATGGTGCTGAGAGCACGCCCTTCAGAATCCTCAACTCCCACAGCCCTGGGCTTGGCGTCCTCAGACGCCTGGAATCCACCGTGGTTTTGTGCCTGGGCCCCCCGCAAGCCATGGCACGGGGCAGCCTCCTGCCAGCTCTTTGCCAGGGTGGGGGTGGGGAGGGGAGGGGGGGGGTGGGGGCTGCTACTGTTGTGTGAGCCCCCGGTTGGTGGGAAACATTCCAGGCGATCCAACTGAAACCGTCTTCCACTTCCTTCTTCCAGTTTACCATCAAACCGTTGGATAAGAAAATCGACGTCTTTAAGTTTAACTCCTCAAAGCTCCGTGTTAATAAGCTGGTAAGTTGAGGTGCTGGCTTCTGTGACCGGTAGCTGGGGTGTTCCTGAGAAACCGAACCACAGCCTTGGCATAGCGGGACCACACTCCCGGCCAGGGCGGGAAATTCTTCCCTTTCCGTGTAGAAGAAGGTGTCGGTCCTCTCCTTAATCCTTTCTGTCTCGCTTGACATCTTTCCTTATCCTGGGATCATAAAGATGTTCTTCTTTTTTTTGTGTGTAAATATCTTTATTGATTCCAGAGAGGAAGGTAGACGGGGAGAGAGATAGAAACATCAATGATGAGAGAGAATCATGGATCGGCTGCCTCCTGCACGCCCCCTACTGGGGATCGAGCCCGAAACCCAGGCATGTGCCCTTGGCCGGAATCGAACCTAGGACCCTGTGGGTTTACCGTCTCTCCCGCTCCCGTGGCCACAGATCCTGCAGCTGTGCATCGGGAACCATGACCTCTTCATGAGGAGGAGGAAGGCCGACTCTTTGGAAGTCCAGCAGATGAAAGCCCAGGCCCGGGAGGAGAAAGCCAGGAAGCAGGTGAGGGAGACCACGTTTGGGCTGCTCTCATCCCGGCCGCCCTGGCCCAGGAGGGAAGGCGTGGTTCCGGGGTCCTTTGGTCATGGGTGACGGCTACTCTTCTGTTATTGATTTCAGAGAGGAAGAGAGAGAGAGAGAGAGAGAGAGAGAGAGAGAGAGAGAGAGAGAGAGAGACATTAATGATGAGAGAGAACCACGGATTGGTTGCCTCCTGCACGCCACATACTGGGGATGGAGCCCACAACCTGGGCATGTGCCCTGACCGGGATTCGAACCGTGACCTCTTGGTTCCTAGGTCATCGCTCAACTACTGAGCCACGCCAGCTGGGCGATGAAGGGGGCTCTTATTTGATCTCTTTTGAGTCTCGGCTGACGCCAGCCGGTGGGTGTCAGCTCCGGAGTTGAGGAATAAACTCCAGTCTCGTATCCGAAGGAAACGTCTCCAGTTACTCCTCCATTCGGGTGACGTGGGAGGAAACAGCCGAGCCTGCCTGTCCCGCCCATGCATCCTCTCTCCTCCGTCCAGCTGAGCTTCCTCTCGCCTGCTCCTTTTCTAATTAGGCGGTGATGGAATGCATGGCAGCGCGCTGGAATGCTAATTAGCCTCTGGCTGCACTGCCCGCCTCGGTCAGCCCGGGCGCCCAGCGCCCACCCCGGGAGGTGCGAGGAGCGCCCATCAGCGAGCCGGACGGTCTGCAACCCTGTTTCCTGCCCATAGACATTCTCGACTCCCCGAATCCCACACCCCTGGCTCGAGCCTCGCAGCCGAGAATATTAATTGTAGTTCTGGGCACACTGCTGGCCAGAGGAGCAGCTGCAGTCGGGTGCCCACAGGACTCGCGGGCGCGGAGGTGTAATAATTAGTCTGCGTGCAGCTGTCTCTGATTTGGGTCCTCGAGCTGTCTCTGATTTGCCTGGCTCCCCGCCAGCAACTGCAGGATGCGATGCCCTGTTTGATCCAGTGCTTCCAGCGCTCCAGCGCTTAGCTCCCCGAGGTGGCCGGCCATCGTGTGCCCTGGGGATGCTTTATGGGGGGCGGGCGCGAGGAGTGGAATGGGTTTTGTTGGACGAAGGGAGACTCCTGTGCCAGCATAGGATCCTAGTGGGAGCTTTGAGAAGAAAGCTTTGTCAGCAGAGGTCAGAAGTGAGAGATCTGGAAACGACAGGGCGCGTGTGTGCAGGGCCTCCTGGCCGCGGCAGAGAATAGTGTGGACACTGTTCTCCACGCCCCCCTGTCCCCCCACCCCGGCCTCCCCTGGCATCTGGCAACTGCGGGTCAGAGGCTCCGCTGCCCCCGTGCAGGCACTGACCTCGGGGCCGGCTGAAAACTTAGGACGTGAGGCGAGCGAATGCCCTGGCTCCAGGCCCCCGTGCTCTCCTCCCACGTGGAGCTAACGGTCCTCCTCGTCCGCCCCCGATCGAAGGACGCGGCGAGCTTGACCCATTTGGCCGCCGGAGGCCCCTCATTACCGGGGCGGAGACCTCGGGAAAGGCGGGCTGGGAATGGAAGGGGACGGCCCCGATTTTCTCAAGTGGCGGGTAATGGACGAGCCGTTAGCCGCCGAGCCGAGTGCAAGTCGTCATGTGATGGAATTAGAGCTCACAGCGTCCAAGCTTCCCATCGACCTGTCCGAGGAAGATGGGGAGAATTTACAGGGTTTTAGTGCTTGTCTTTGCATTATTCCTCCGAGGTGCATTGCTGCCTTCCCGCCCCCCCCTTCTGGCTTAGTACTTAGACAAAGCAGCGCTCTTAGAAATCTCCCGTTGGAGAGAAGCTTGAAACGAGACGTGATTAAACGTTGCTTTAATTATTAAAGGAAACAGAATAGCGCGGTGGTCACTTCCGGCCGATGCCTCTTGAATTCAGGGCGTGCCCGGCCGGCCGCGGGCTCCCCAGCACAGTGTGGTCTCGCTTGCTCGCCTGATTAAGCTCAGCATGTGGCCCAATTCATAGCGCCAGGCAGAAGGCGAGGGAGGCGGCGGCGGTGGCGGCGGCTGGGCTGGTGCCTGCTCCCTCCTCTTCCAGGCCCGGCGCAGGGGGAGCCTCAGCGGGGCCGTGCGGGCCTGTGCCCTGGCTGCCGCAGCTCCCCCTGCGAAATGCAGCGAGTGAGCTATGGGTGCATCACGCAGACCGGTTCCGTCTGCCCCGGGGTCCGTGGCTGATGAGATCGGAGGTGTGGGGGAGGGCTGTGTCGACGAGCAATAGTAGATGAGAAAGTCGGCTCGGTCTCAGGGACGAGGAGTCCGCATTGCCTCCCGCCAGCTGCAGGGCACAGGGCGAGGGTGCCCTCTTCCGTCCAGGTAGAGGCCGGCCGTGGCTGTTGGTTGTTGGTTTCTCTTTTATTAATATGTTTATTGATTTCACTGAGGAAGGGAGAGAGACCGAGAGAGAAACAGAAACCCCACCAATGATGAAAGAGGCATAGATCGGCTGCTTCCTGCAGGCCCCACACTGGGGATCAAGCCTGCAACTGGGCCCTATGCCCTGACCCGGAATTGAACCCCAACCTCTTGGCTCATAGATCAACGCTCAAGCGGGGAGCCACGCCGGCCGGGCTGCTGCTGGCTTCCTTCCCGCTCCATGTTTTCTCAAGGAGCGCGGTTGGCGCCCGGCCGCTGCTTCAGGAGGACGGAGGGGGGCGGGGGGCGAGCACGGCACCGGCTCCCGGAGGAAAGGTGCCCCCGCAGCGGGGACTCTGCGCGCTGGGCGTCCCTGTGTTCCCGTGGCCGTGAGCCCGGGACTCAGCGGCTGCCCTCTCCCCTCCCGCCCCCCCAGATGGAGCGGCAGCGCCTCGCCCGAGAGAAGCAGATGCGGGAGGAGGCCGAGCGCACCCGGGACGAGCTGGAGCGGCGGCTGCTGCAGATGAAGGAGGAGGCGACCATGGCCAACGAGGCGCTGGTGATTGCCCGGGGGGCCGGCCCTGGGAGGTGGCACCGCCCGGGCTCCACGAATGAGAGGCGCCTCCACAAATGTGACGTTTCAGCTAAAAACCCCACGAAAACCCGGTGCCTTTTCCCCACAGTGTGCCGGCAGGGGCAGGTGCCGGTGGCATCTTCGCTGTTAGAAGGGTTACAGGTGTTACAGCCAGGACACCTGTTTGTTTGCTTGTCGCCTCGGCTCCCTCCACCCAGGCCCCGCCCCTGTCCCCGCCCCTCCCAGGCCTTCCCCACTATTGTCCGCGCCCCGGGGCTGTGAATAGATGCATATAAGGCCCCCCGGGTTTGGGGGGTACCTTTACAGCAGGTCTAACTGGGGCCAGACCGCCCTCGGTGGGGTCTGCCTGTCATTGGAGGACCGTTAGTGGTGTCCCTGGCCTTGACCCATTCGCTGCTGGTCGCACCATCGCCCCTCATGGGAGACCATCAAAGCATCTCCAGACACTGTCAGGTGTCCCCCTGAGGACAGGGTCTCCCCAGTTTGGAGCTGACTTAAAGGAAAAAGAGACGGGGTGAAGTTGGTTTTCCCCCTCATCAAGCCTCTGTTCCCCGGAACTCACCATCAGGCGCCTCCGTGTGCTGCCCTGGGTGGGACCCCAAAGGCCCCTCTGAGAAGAGGGGGTGTGGCTTGTTGTCTGTCACCAGGCTGACACTCTGGCAGGACACCAAGGAATCTGAGACTCGGGTTCTTTTTTTTATTGTTTTTTTTAAAAAAAATATATATTTTATTGATTTTGTACAGAGAGGAAGGGAGAGGGAGAGAGAGTTAGAAACATCTGATGAGAGAGAAACATCCATCAGCTGTTTCCTGCACAACCCCTACTGGGGATGTGCCATCCACCAAGGTACATGACCTTGACCGGAATTGAACCTGGGACCCGTGAGTCCGCAGGCTGACGCTCTATCCACTGAGCCAAACTGGTTAGGGCGAGACTCTGGTTCTCAGCGACCCGGGGGTCTGGGCTCAGATCTGGTGGGGGAACAGGCAGGGGTCCGCCACTGACGCCCGCTCCCGGCACCTCCTCCCAGATGCGGTCGGAGGAGACGGCCGACCTGCTGGCGGAGAAGGCCCAGATCACCGAGGAGGAGGCGAAGCTGCTGGCCCAGAAGGCTGCCGAGGCTGAGCAGGAGATGCAGCGCATCAAGGCCACGGCCATCCGCACGGAGGAGGAGAAGCGGGTGATGGAGCAGAAGGTGCTGGAGGCCGAGGTGCTGGCGCTGAAGATGGCTGAGGAGTCCGAGAGGAGGTGAGGGGGGACGGGGCAGGGCCTGGGGGGACTGGGCCCTGGGTCCTCACCTGCCCCAGCCGTCCTCGGGCTGCTTCCCTGTCTGGCGGGGACGGGCTCCTCGGGATTAACCCGGGGTCCCTCCTCCCCAGGGGGGGAAAGGAGGGGTCCTTTCCTCACCTTCTGGGGGGTGACCGCTCCTTCCCCTGCAGGGCCAAGGAGGCTGATCAGCTGAAGCAGGACCTGCAGGAGGCCCGAGAGGCGGAGCGAAGAGCCAAGCAAAAGCTCCAGGAAATCACCAAGCCCACGTACCCGGTGAGCCTGGGGGCGCCGAGGGGCCAGAACGGGGGGGGGGGGGCGCCCAGACCCAGGAACCTTCCTTCCCGCCCAGCCCTTGGCTTCACCGGGCGGTGCCTGCAGAGCAGGGGTGCAGAGCCTACGGTGGGCGCGGGGGGGTCTGGGCAGGACGCCTGGGCTGCCATTTGGCCTTGGGCTCATCAGGCACCTCTCTGGCTGCCAAGATAGCAAGCAGGAGGGCCTTTCACAGCTCGGAAGTGTTCTTATTCCAAGTACGTAGTCCCACATTGCCCTCGGGAGACCTGGCTCCAGCCTCAGCACCAAACTGGACGTCACCTTCAACGGCCAGGATGTCCTCTGCACCGGGAGCCTGGTCCTGGGCGAGGAAACCCCGTGTCTCTCAGGCCACCTGCTGCTGTGTGAGACCCGGCCTCCAGGAACAGCCTCCAGGCTCCATTTGGGACAGGGAGGCAGCCTGCAATTCCGTTGGTTTATTTGTTTATTTATTACTGATTTCAGAGAGGAAGGGAGAGGGAGAGAGAGAGAAACATTCATGATGAGAGAATCACTGATTGGCTTTCCTCCTGCACACCCCCCTCTGGGGATGGAGCCCACAACCCCGGGCGTCCTGTGCCCTGACCAGGAATCGAACCGTGACCTCCTGGTTCCTAGGTTGACGTTCAACCCCTGAGCCATGCCGGCCGGGGTCGGGGATGTGTAAAACACACACGGGAGCAGACTTTATACCCGGCTCTAATAATAAATGCATAAACCCCGGAGGAGGTCACGCATATCAGCTTTTTAATCATATAATAGTTTGTTGTACAGATGGATGTGCATCCACCCGGTCAGTCCCCAGCGAATGGGTACACAGTCTGTTTTCTTTTTCAATGATGAACAGAAACTGCAGGGAACATCCCTGAGCGCAAATATTGGCACGTACACGTCGGTGAACGGAGTCGGAGAAGACCGCAGTGGCAGGAGGCTGTGGCGGTCCCCTCTCCTCCATGGCTGCCCGGGGAGCGGGGGGTGGGGGCGGGCGGGTGGTTAGCACAGCAGTGCCCTCTGCTCTGGTGGAACCCGGCCCTCCTAACTGGAGCTTCTCATTTCTAGCCCATCAACCCACTTCCAGCGCCACTGCCCCCCGACATGTCAAGCTTCAGCCTCATCGGTGACAGCCTGTCTTTCGACTTCAAGGACACTGACATGAAGCGGCTTTCCATGGAAATAGAGAAAGAAAAGTAGGTGGTGTCCCCTTCCCCCGAGCGAGCTGGCCGGGGCCCTGGGGGAGGAGCGGGCAGCTCTGTCCTCACTCACCGCCTGCCCTACAGGGAGAATTTCCCAATCAGAAATGCAGGAAGACAGGCCGGCACTCCCATCTTCCAGGATAAGAATGTGTCTCTGTTGGTAGCCCGGGGATTACAGTGGCTCAGACCCTCACCTAACGTATGGGGCGCGCTACCAGAGACCTCCGAGCCGGCCAGAGAGCTGTTCCCATGGCAACCGAGGGTGTGATAATGTGCCGACGTGGCAATGACACGCGTTTCCTGGCTGTGTTCTCTGGCGGCTCCAATCCGTGGCTTTCCATATTTGTTTTTGTGTTTTTAAAAAAATATTTTTATTGATTTTAGAGAGGAAGGGAGATAGAGAGATGCTAACAGAGAATCATGGATCGGCTGCCTCCTGCATGCCCCGCCCTGGAGACTGAGCCTGCACCCCAGGCACGTGCCTTGACCCCGGGAAATGAACCATGACCTCCTGGTTCCTAGGTCGACCCTCAACCACCGAGCCACGCCGGTGGGGCTCCTGCACTTCCTTTTGTTTAATTCTGACCGCAGCCCTGCGGACCAGGAAACAGATTCAGGCCAGTTCAGTGACTGGCCCCGCCCCCGTGGCCTGTGCGCGGCCAAGGGGAGCCGTGGGCTGCCTCCCCCGCCCCTCGGCGCTTCAGACCCCGGGTCCCAAGCCGAGCGGCTTGTACGTGTGAGCGCCTCCACCCTGGCTACGCCGGGGCCGTGACGCGGCGTCCCGTCCCCGCAGAGTGGAGTACATGGAGAAGAGCAAGCACCTGCAGGAGCAGCTCAACGAGCTCAAGACGGAGATCGAGGCCCTGAAACTCAAAGAGAGGGAGACGGCCCTGGACATCCTGCACAACGAGAACGCCGACCGCGGCGGCACCAGCAGCAAGCACAACACCATCAAGAAGGTACCGGCCCCGCCTCCCGCCTCCCGCCTCCCGCCTCCCGCCGGTGGGGGGGTGGGGGGCGCGCTCGTGAAACGCGGGGTCAGCCTCTGGCGCCCTCCGCAGCGAGTCATTAGGCTCCTGTCACGTTGGCTGTGTCCTTGGTGCCTAACAGGGAACCTTAATCCGCCAGAGACTGCGCACCCGCCGGCCGGGAGGGAGGGGGCCTTCTCACACGGGCATTTCCCGGTGAGATGCGTCACTGCGGCCGGCCGGGTTCTGATCCGGCACTTGGCAGGAGAGCCGCTCTGTCCTTTAAGCCGAGGGGAGTGCTGCCCAGGGAGCTGCCTGCCTTAATGAGAAAGCAAGAACGGAATGGAGATGCTCCCTCCAGTGTGTGTGTGTGTGTGTGTGTGTTAAAGTGGAAGGGCCGTAAAGCTCTGATCTTGATTCAGAAGCCAGACGCGGGATTTTTAACTTGGTTCACGCTCACCGGGGAGTCGAGGAGAACCTTCATGTTCTGAGAGAGGAAGCTTCATTTACGTCGCTAACAGTTCCACGTCTTTCTCCCCTGATAGTCTGAGCTGTGAGCGTTTTAGAGGACACTGATTTCCATCCTAAACATCCAGCCCGAGAGTGTACGTCTCTGATGTACACGCCGGAGGGTGCTCCCCGGGCCCTGGTGTCCGGTCCTGCCCGAAGCCCAGGGCCAGCCAGCGCCTGGGAGAAGGTGTCCCCAGGAGAGGCTGCGGTGGACTTCAGACGATGACCGTTTAGATCTGTTTAATTTTCAAAAACTATATTTTCATTGGTGTCAGAGAGAAAGGGAGAAGGAGAGGGAGAGAGAAACATCAGTGATGAGAGAGGATCACGGATCGGCTGCCTCCTGCACGCCTCACGCTGGGGATCAGAGCCCGCAACCCGGGCCTGTGCCCTGACCGGGGATCGAACCCTGACCTCCTGGTTCATAGGTCAACACTCAACCACTGAGCCACGCCAGACGGGCTAGATAAGTTTAATTTTTTATTTACCCTTTACCTTTAGTCTTTAAGGTGGATTACCAGTTTTCTTTTTTTTTTTTCTTTTTTTTTTTTAAATATATTTTATTGATTTTTCACAGAGAAGAAGGGAGAGAGATAGAGAGCTAGAAATGTCGATGAGAGAGAAACCTCGACCAGCTGCCTCTTGCACACCCCCTACTGGGGATGTGCCCACAACCAAGGTACATGCCCTTGACCGGAATCGAACCTGGGACCTTTCAGTCCTCAGACCGATGCTCTGCCACTAAGCCAAACCGGTTTCGGCTGGATTACCAGTTTTCGATGGTTAAGCTGTAGCTGAAAGCAATCCCGGATAGGCACAGTCGGGACCCGGATTCTCGTTCTCTCTCTCTGACTCCAGTTCACATTGGCACCGGGAGCGTTGCTTTTCGTAGTGTAACCCGGGAGGAAAGAGCTCCCCGCATTCCGCATTCTCCTTCCCACTGGCTTCTGTGCTGACTGCCTTCCCTCCCAAAGCCGAACTGTGAAGCAGCTAGCAAACGGGGAGCTGACGGAGGCCTCCGCCAGGGCACAGAGACGTCAAATGACTGGGCCGGGGAGCCAGCCAGGCCTCGGAGGAGCTGCCCGGGCCCCTCCCGGCCCCTTCCCCCTCCACACCCCTCACTCGCTCATCTGGGCACCAGCAGGGAGCTGGGCCTTCAGCCACAGGGACCCGGGGCGCTGCAGGCTGGGGAGAGCCAGTTCCGAGCCAGGAAAGCAAACCAGTGAAGTCACACGTGTCACCCTGCCAGGCGCGTCCGATCGTGTTTTGCAAACGGCATGTGCGGTGCTGTGGATGCCATAGGGTTGTTATGTTTTTGTTTTATTTTGCTGGTTTAGCCTCAAGCCCAAGGCAGAAGACCTATCTGCATTTGAGCCTCCAAGTAGGCTGTCCGCAGGTACTCTGTGTTGGTGGCGGCCCCACCCTCTGTGATACTAACCGTGCATGAGCTTGCCCGCCCGTCTCTGTCCGCAGCCCGCGCCCAGCCCTCCCGGGGCACGGGGCGTGGGTGCCAGCCGCAGCATGCTGAGTCCGAGCAGGCGGCCATCCCCCAGCACCCGCGGGGCCAGCCCCGCCCCCGGGGCTCCCCGGGGCTGCCTCGTTGGGAAGAGCATGTCGAGGGGGCTGCAGGCCCGGTGGTCCTTACGTCTTGTGTCCCTGTGGGTCTGGAGACGGTCACGCTTCTTGTCCGGTCGGGTCTGTCTGAGTCTTGTGTGTTGGTGGCGTACCTCTCAGATGATAGCATGGAAACACGGGGTGCTGCGGGGGTGTTCAGGACTGGCGCCCTTTGACCCCAAGACCCAGGCCTTTGGCGCGGTGACAGCCCCTGGGGGCCCGTGGTCTCCCGGGTCCTGGGGTGAGAGGGTGGCCCGCGCCCGCTCCTTTCCCTCCGAGCCTCCCCTTCCGGCACCTCCGTGTTTCTCGCCAAGCGAAGCGAAGCGAACGGACGGCACAGGGCCCGCTGGGTAGTCCGTCCCGGGGGACATCTGCCTGTCAGCGCTCTAAAGGCCATCCCGCCTCCGCTCCTCCTGCGATCGCAGCGAGCCCGCCCGGGGACGGTGTCGGCGGGCAGCCCCGCGGCCGGGCGGGCGGTGGCCGGCGGGGGATTCATCCAGCGCTCGCCGCTTCCTCCCGCAGCGTGTGTGTGCTGCCGGGCACTCCATGTGTGTGAGAACTCATCGAAAAGCACCCGCCACCCCCGCCACCGCCCTCACCTCACCCCCCCCCCCCCCCGGTACCCGGGAGGTCGCCCACCTCTGGCGGTCCCGCGGGCCGTGTGTGTCCTTGGGCATCCTCGCGCGGTTTCTGCTGCGAGAACACAAGCTCATGGGAAGCCTTCCACCAAAAACTGAGATCTGGCATCCACAGCCCTGTTTGCGCTTGTTGTCCACGCAGGGAGGTTAGCTGTTAACGGCCCAGATGGGTCTCATTATAAGATGGATGCGAGCTGTCGGGGCTCCCAGAACCCCTGGCGTACACCCCGGTTTGTACGTGACGCTTTTATTCTGCGGCCTCCTGTCTCCCGCAGCTCTCAGCCCCCACGTGGGCACTGGGAAACCCCAACACGGGGCAGCGCACGCTCCGAGAGGGGTGACCAGCCCTGGAACGGGCAGGCCAGGGGGTCATCGGCTCAAGTGACCCCCCCCCCCAGCACCCAGAGGACCTCGGAAGGGACTGTGCCTAGCACAGGGCAAAGCAAAAAAAAAAAAAAAAAATCCTTTAATTTCAGCCCGTGCTGTCAGATGTGCCCGACATCTGCCCGCATGTTCCGCCGTGATGCAATTTCCTCTCTCCTCTCTCTCTAACGATCGGAGTGTTTAACGTCTTCAAGGGGCCTGCTTCTGAGCGTCCGTTCTCGCTGAGCTATTATTGTAGACAAATGAGGTTTGATTTGTAGTCAGATTTGTACTGCTGCTAGGGCATACAGAAGCCTTTTTTTTTTTTTTTTTTTTTTTAATGTCTTAATGTGAACTTGTTTTCAAAGCAGGCTGCCAGTCCGTCAAGAATTCTGATGAGTCCAGGGTTCACACACGCATAGACTTGGCTTTTAATTTAATATATTTTATTGATTTTTTTTTTTTTTACAGAGAGGGAGAGGGATGGAGAGTTAGAAACATGGATGAGAGAGAAACATCCATCAGCTGCCTCCCGCACACCCCCACTGGGGATGTGCCCGCAACCAAGGTACATGCCCTTGACTGGAATCGAACCTTCAGTCCGCAGGCCGACGCTCTGTCCACTGAGCCAAGCCGGTTAGGGCTAGACTTGGCTTTTAATACAACTGGAGTTATCCCGGCCCCACCGGATTCAGTAGTGCTAGTTTTTTGGCTTTGTGTGACACTGGATGTGCGTTCCATGTTTTAGGCTCCAGTGGCCCCTGGGGCCAGGCCTGAACGGCCAGGCTGACCTCTGAATCGGGAGGTCACGGTTCGATTCCCAGTCGGGGCACAGGCCTGGGTTGTGGGCTCAGTCCCGGATGAGGGGGCGGGAGGGGAGACAGAGAAGTCTACAATGTCCTCTTCAGTTTGCACGGACTTCCTTGGAGAGGCAGAGCTGGGGGGGAGGACGGGACACTTAGAACCCACACCCGGGGAGGTGATAAATCACAGGGTGAAAGCCAGCGTGAGAAAGGCGACCCCACAGTTACAGCCGCGGCCCCGCCTCCCGGTGACGGCTGGTCCGCCTGGGAGCGGCTGCCAGCAGCCCCGGCAGCACAGCATGGCCGCTAATGTGTCCGCGCCGGCCCCAGCGCGGGGAGCCAGGCACTCTGCCTGCTGGGGGCCCGGGGCCCTGACTCCCCGCGCATCCTCCGCCCCGACAGGAAGCCTGTCTCCAGAGCCTTCCCTCTGTGGTTCGAGCTCCGCAGAGGGGGCGGGGGAGGAGGAGAGGGGAATGGGGCCCTGCCTCTCCCCCCGAACCCCCCTGCCCCTTCCCCCACGGGCGCGCATCTCCTAAGCTCTAAGGGACCCCAGGATGCTGGCAGCCAGGGCCGCCCGCCATGGGGGCGGTTCGTCCCAGACAAAGCCCGCCCCTGCGCCCACGGCGCCTTTCCTCTGACTGCGTGTGAGCCGGAGCGCCCCCCGGCTCGTTCCCAGCCCTTCCTTGTCTCATATCCCAAATTAAAGAGAAAAGGGGACGGGGGTGGGGTAGGGAGCCAGGGGCATGAAGCCCGGTGTGGACAGGGGGCAGCGGGGGCAGCGGGGGCAGCGGGAGGCGGCGTGGGCTGGCTCCGGGTGCGGCCCCTCCGGCCCCCGGCTCGTCCCTGCAGGCCCCTCGGGCCTCACGGTCGCTGCGGCCGCGGTCTCCCGGCATGTTTCCGGCGGCGCTCTGGCTAGACGGTTCTCCAGCCTCTTCTCCAAAAGGAGAGGCTCAGGCCCTTGTGGGTCGGGAGACTTTAGCTTCGGGGACCCTGAGGAGCCCGGGAGCCCGCCTCGCCCCCCGGGAGCCGTCGCAGCCGCTCAGTGCGCGCCGGCCTCCTCGGCCTCCTGCCACGCATGGCACCTCCCGTGGGGCCCTCCGCACCGGAGATGCGGCTCAGCGCGGCTCTCCTCCTGCTGTGATACTGCGGCGGCCGGCGGGGCGAGGGAGGGGGAGAAGGCCCACATCCAGCCTCTTCCTGCCCCTCTCCGGTCCCTAAGGATGCATCCGCAAAAGGGGCCCTCTGGCTTCTCCCTGGCAGCCTCCTCCCTCCCTCTCTCTCTCTCTCTCTCTCTCTCTCTCTCTCTCTCTCTCTCGATGTGCTCATTGGAATGGCCCAGGCCTTTCCTGCCACCTCTGTGCAGGGCTCTCCCCGAGCACCTCCCCGGATGGCATTTGGGTGCAGCTGTCACTGGCGAGCCGGCAGAGCAGCTTGGTCTGGCCCGTTTGCAGCAGCAGCTACGGCCTCCGCTGGCCCTGCAGCATCGCATCGGCCTGGCTCCGGTTTGGAAGGCGGGAGGGGGGCTAAGGGGGGGGGGTGTCACGCCCCAGATCAAAGGTGCTGCTGGGAGTCGCTGCTGCTGGATTTGCCAGCTCCTTTCTGCCCAGGGCCAGCTCTCACCCCACGGATCTGAGCTTCCTTTCCCATCCCCTCCGGCCCTGCCCTCCCCCGTTCCATGCACAGGTGGTGAGCGCAGCAGAGGAAGTATCACAGGGTTTTTAGGGCTCGAGTTTCCGTTTCACAGCGTTTTTATGGGACACGCAGAGCCCCAGCGCCAGGAGCGATTCCGTTAGTGTCTCACGTGGGTTCGGCCTCGTGGGTCTCGCTGTTTCACGTGGATTCGACAGGCCCCTCCCCTCCTTCTCTTCCCCGGGGACAGGGGATCCAGGCGAGGCCCCCAGGGACTAGACTAGTTGGAGGAATCCTGATGAGTTTGTTCTCCTGGCTTAATGGTGGCGCTTCCCCTCTCTCCCTCTCTCTCTCTCTCTCTCTCTCTCTCTCTCTCTCTCTCTCTCTCTCTCTCTCTCTCTCTCTCTCGTCACTGCTAGCCCAAATGGCTCTGTGTCCTGCCCCCCCCCACGCCGCCCCCCCTTTGCCTAAAGAGCCACTTATCACCATGCGGCCTGTGAACCCCCGTGTGTGTGCTGATGAGAGTGTAATTCGTTCCTAATCAGGCAGCCTACCTCCCCCCCCCCCGTGTCCTCCCGGCAGGGCCACTCCAGGGGCTGATGCTGGAGGAGCCTTGCAGCTGCGGGGAGAGGGGAGCCGGGCGGGACAGGTGGGCCTGCGCTTCTGTCTCAGGAGCGGCCAGTGCGGGCCCTCGATCCCAGGGAGCAGGAGCCGGTGCATCTGCGCATTTCCTGCGGCCGGTGTCATGGAGAACCTGCCGGGTACCAGGCTCCTCCTCGGGTTCAGAGGAGCCGGCCTCCCCCTCCTCCTCCTCCTCCTCCTCCTCCTCCTCCTTTTTCTTTATCCTCACCCGAGGACGTTTTCCCATTGATTTGTAAAGAGAGTGGAAAGGCGAGGGAGAGCCAGAGAAACATCGATGTGGGAGAGACACTTGGATGGGTCGCCTCCTGCATGGCACCCCGACCAGGGCCAGGGGAACCTGCAACGCAGCTTCCTGCCCTTGTTCAGAATGGAACCCGGGACCCTTCCACCCGCAGGCCCGACGCTCCATCCACTGAGCCACATTGGCCAGAGCCCAGCCTCCTTTTTAAGGAGACACATTGTCCCCCGAAGGTGGACTTGCTCAGAGTCGGGGGGCGTGCCCGCGTGGTGGGGAGCCGAGTAGGAGGTGCGCTGACTCTGTGGGTCCCGGGCGGGAAGGAAGGCCCCGCCTGGCGGGTGGATGGAGCCCCCGTCGGTACCACCAGGCCGCGCCGCCGTGCAGCGGGGCCGGAGGAGAAGGTGCCCCCTCGGGAGGGAATCGGACGAGTGACAGACGTGAGCAGCGGCTCAGTCGAGAGAGAACTTAATTCCTCCCGCGTTCCACACGCGGCCTCTTCAATCAGATGGAGGAGACGGCGGGCGGCCCGGCGTCTGCGGGGACGGCGCGTTCCTCCCTGCGCCAGGGAGGGGCGGCCGGGCCCGGGGTGTATCGCTGCCCACAGAGCTGGAGTGACGAGGGCAGCGTGGCCGGGCAGCGTGGCCGGGGGGCCACTCACTTGTCCTCAGAGGACGCGGGCTCCAGCGTGGCTCCGCGGCTGAGCGTCGACCTCTGAACCTGGAGGTCACACTGGTCCCCGCTCAGGGCACAGGCCCGGGTTGCGGGCTCCGTCCCCAGTGTGGGGCGTGCAGGAGGCAGCCGATCTGTGATTCTCTCTCATCATTGGTGTTTCTCTCTCTCCCTCTACCTTTCTCTCCAAAATCAATACCCACCACGGATGTGGGCTCGTGTTCCTTACAGCGCGAGGGCTGGCGGGCAGAGCGGAACGCCGTCAGCCAGTTCCCGTGATTGTAAAGAAGGCCACAGGGCCCTGGCCGGTTTGGCTCAGTGGGTAGACCATCGGCCTGTGGACTGAAGGGTCCCGGGTTCGATTCCGGCCATGGGCACCTGCCCAGGCTGCAGGCTTGATGATCCCCAATAGGGAGCCTGCTGGAGGCAGCTGATCAATGATTCTCTCTCTTCCTTGATGCTGTTAACTCTCTCTCCCTCCCCCTCCCCCTCTGAAATCAATATTTTAAATGAGCCGCAGGGAACGCTTCCTTTACGGGAGCTGGCTGAGTGCCATTCCCGCCGAGCCTCTCCCTTCTCTCACGGGGCCTCCTGCCTGCGTATGTGACACTCAGCGAGCTTTCTGGAAAGAGCAGGGGGGAAGGATCCCAGGGGTGAGGAGAGCGGGCCCAGGGAGGCAGAGGCTGAGCTGGCAGACGCTGCCCGCTGTGCCCGAGGGAGGGGGGGCACTCGGCAAACCTGCCTGCCCTGGGCCTCCGTGTCCCCCCCTGGACCAGAGCCGCCTCCCTGCTGACCCTCCACCGCCCGTCTCCCTCCCTCCCTCCCTCCTCCCTCCCTCCCTCCTCCCTCCCTCCCTCCCTCCCCTGCAGCCGGCCCGGGAGGAGGCCATGTTCACGGCCAAGATAAAGGAGGGGAAGCAGCCCCGCCGAGGCCGGGGCGGGAAAGGCTCCGGGGGCAGCGGGCGGGCGGGCGGCTCCTGCAGTCATTCCCTCCGATAGCGGTTCCTGGTGGAACCGTGCGGTCGGGGCAGGGCCGGTGCCCTTGCCGTGGCCGGCAGCCAGGTCTCCCGTGGGCAGAGGCGGGCGGCTCCCAGGACCCGCGGCGACAGCAGCCACGCCGGCGCCCTTGCCGTGGCCTGCCGGGACCCTGCCAGCCTGGAGCCGGCGGAAGGCTGCGCTCCGCTCTCCGAGCCCGGGTGTCTGCGGCCCAAGGACCTGACTTCGCTCCGGGCCTCCTCGGGCTGAGCCACCACTTCTTTTTCTGTTAAATTGGTCTCAGAGAGGAAGGGAGGGGGAGAGAGAGAATCATCAGTGAAGAGAGAGAACCATTGACCAGCTGCCTCCTGCACGCCCCTCTGCTCTTCCCCCCACTGGGGATGGAGCCCACAGCCCGGGCATGTGCCTGACCGGGAATCAAAACTGTGACCTCCTGCTTCATAGGCTGACGCTCAACCACTGAGCCACACCAGCCGGGCTCGGGGACAGCTTCTGCTCCTGCAGGTTAAGAGGGAGGCTGAGCCACTGCCGTGCGTGTGGGGTGCGGCCTGGCACCTGCCCCCCTCCCCTCCCCCGAAGAGGGCTTGGCACCCAGCGAACACATGCAAGTCCCTGGCATCTGCTGCGGCCAGGCCTGCCAACCCTCCCCTGGCACCTCGCGGGGCCGGCCGCGCGCAGCCTGGGGAGAGGATCCAGGAATTCTTGGAGCCAGCGTCGTACACGTGGGCACGCGGCCTGGGAGGCGGCCAGGCCTCTGGGGGCACCCACTCGCCCTGCCCCTGCCCTGCTCCCCCAGGAGGGAGAGGAGCCAGAGCTGGGGGAAGGGGGGCGGGGAACGTGACGCTGCTGTCAGTGATAACAGCTGTTGAGCTCTGCTGAGCGCCGGGCACGGTGCTGAGCGGTTCCCAGCAATCCCCAGCTACTCCACACGTTCCCCAGCTACTCCACACGGTCTGAGCAGGGCCCGGGGCCTGATGCTCCTGTTTGGGGGGAGATCCTGGGACGTGGTCCACAGCCACAGAGTCAGGGAGCCCGGGTTCAGCAGCGCAGGGCGTCGCCAGCTGCAGTTTCTCCGGGGGAGGCGCTCAGAGTGTCCAGGCGGAGCACAGGGCAAACCAGCCCCGTCCAGGCTGTGGACCCTCCGCTGCCCGGTCCGGGCGAGCCTGCTCTGGGAGCCGGGAGCGGGAGGGACAAGCTCCCGCTCCTCTGGCCTGAGGCCGTCCCCTCGCCCAGCGGGTCCCCCGGGGTGTGGGGAGGAGCCCCAGCCTGGCACCCGGGCAGGCGGCACCCGCAGGGCCCGGAGACTCGGGGACGGGGACCCCTGCCCTCCGGAAAGGCGACGCGGCTGACATGTTCCGCTGGCATGCTTCCACCCCCCGCCACCCCCTGGCATGTCCTCCCATGTCACCTCCTCGTTCGGGTTCTGGGGGCCCATCCGGAGCCGTGTCTGGGATTGGCCCCCCCTCGAATGTCTGTCTGAACCCCCTTCCCGTCCCCTCCCGCCGCCTCGGGGCCCCCCCCCCCCCCCCCCCCGCAGGCAGCCGGCTCCCCCAGGTGCAGGGGCCTCGCCCCCTCAGCGTCTCCTCTGCTTCCTTGCAGCTCACCCTGCAGAGCGCCAAGTCCCGCGTGGCCTTCTTCGAGGAGCTGTAGGGGCCCGCGCCCCGGGATCCACTGCCGCCGCCGCCTCTGCCGCTGCTCCCGGCCCAGCCCACGGCCTGCCGCCCGGAGCCGGAGCCGCCCGGAGCCAGAGCCGCCCGGAGCTGGAGCCGCCCGGAGCCGGAGCCGGAGCCGCCCGGAGCCGGAGCCGGGCTGGGGCCTCCTCCCCTGTCTCGTGTGCAATGGCCTGGACTGTGACCTGCGGGGGTCCCTCCCACGGGGCCGGTTCGCCCCCCTAAGTCTTTGAATGTCTTTCCTGGTCTCAGTGTGTGTGACCCCAATTCCTGCATCAGGGGCCCCGGGGGGAGGGGGAGGGGGGAGGGGGGAGGGGTCCCTGCCCGTGCTGCCCGGCCCGGCCCGGCCCTGCTGGGAAGTGGGTGAAGGGCGTGAGGTGCGCAGGCCCCTGGAGGCCAGGAGGCTGCTGCCTCCCCCCCCCCCTCCCCGCTTTCCAGAACGCTCCTCTCCTCCCGCCGAGGAGCGGCCTGCCCCGGCTTGCCCACAGCCAGGACGAGCCGAGTGATGGGTCCTCAGCCGCCCTGCGAGGCGGCGCCCTGGCTGCCAGGGGAGGGGGGCACGGCCACCGTGCCTGGGGAAGACTCGGTGTGGGAACCTGCCCCATACACTCCACCCGCTGCCTCCTCTGCCCTCCCAAACCAGGTCCCAGGGGCAGGCGGGGGCTCGGGTCCTTTTCACCCCCTTTGGCCTCAGCCCCTTCCACGCTCTGGCCGACACCGGGTGCCCCGCCATGACTGGGGTCCCCCAGAAGGCTCGGAGGCCCCGCACACTGCTCAGTGGCCCAGACTCTGAGCTCCGCTGGCCCAGCCTGCCAGCAGGTCCCTCCCAGCCCATCGCTGTGCCCGGGCCCTTTATTTCCTCTTCCCCTGTGGGCCCTTCGGGGTCCCTGTGCTCCGCCAGGGCGAGCCGGCACTGACCACCCGCACAGGCTGGCAGCGGGCACAGACCACCCGGGCCTACCTGGCTCCCTGGTTTGGGGCCACTTTTGTGCCCTTTCGTTTCTCCATCCCTTGGTGCTGCTGCTGCTGCTGTGACCCACGGGGCGGGCGGGCCCTCCCGGGGGCTGTTGGGCAGAGCAGGTGGCAGCCTTGGCCAGGGCACAGGCATCTGCTAGCGGCCGCGGGCCCCGTGGTCTCCCACACGCCCGTGGCATCTGAGACACCGGGCAGCCCGCCCAGCCTGCTCCCCACAGTCAGGCCGGCCCCACAGTGCCCCCGGCTGGATGCCACCTTCTCGGCCCCCTGCCCCAGGAAGCCAGCCCCCGTCTTACCGCCCTCAGGACACCGGGTGGGACTCGGCGTCCGCGCACGTCTGAGGGGAGGCCTGGCTCTTGCGTGAGGCTCTCCTCCGGCTCAGCCCCCGCCCCTGCCTTCCCAGGAGTCCCTGCCCTCCTCACCTGTGACCTCATCCCTCCACGCCCCCGCCCCTGCCTTCCCAGGAGTCCCTGCCCTCCTCACCCGTGACCTCATCCCTCCACGTGGCGGGGCACAGAGCAGGACGGAGGTCCATAAAGACACCAGGCTTTTATCACTGTCCGAAGCCTGGGCCGGGCCCAGCCCTGCGGCCCCCGGGGAGCCGGGCCGGTGTCTGGGCTGTGGCTCGGGGAGCAGCTGGGCCAGGAGCGCCCGGGCCGTCCTCGGGGCGAGCTGGTGGGCCCCTCGCAGACGGCCGGGCGGAGGGGTGGCGGCCGCGGGAAAGCCAGAGCCCCCGGGGAAGGAGCGGGCGGAGAGCGGGGCTGGGCGCCCCCAGGAAGGAGCCCGACTCCCACGGAGAGCAGGCCCGGCCTGGTGACCGGGCCGCCACCCCGCTGTGCCACGCAGCCCACCGGTGCCCCGAGGCCTCACCCGCCACGGCTCCATTATTCCCGCCCGCCAGGCCCGGCTGGACAGCGCCCGGGGCACACGTGGCACTCCTTCGGTGGCTGTGTTTTGTGGTCTGGGGGGCAGGCCTCTCTCTCTCTCTCTCTCCCAAATCAAACGGCAAGCCCGGAGGCCGATGACCATGGGCGTGACGCTGTGCTGCTCGCCCCTGGGGCTGGAGCCTCACTGCCCTGGACCAGGCCGAGGGGAAGCCCACCCCTTTTCACAGACGCCAGACCCCGGAAGACTCTTCTGTGTTTGGGAGACTAATTTAAATGATTGTTTTAATAAAAATTCTAAGCTGCCTCACGTTTGTCTCGGGCTTCCTCCCTTTGCTGGCTGCTCAGGCCCAGGGCGGTGGCCAGACCCCCGGGCTCGGTGACGCCTCTTGGGTTTTTGTTTGTTTGTCTGTTTAATATGTTTTTATTGATTTCAGAGGGAGGGAGAGGGAGAGAGAAGCATCAGGGATGAGAGAGAATCATGGATCGGCTGCCTCCTGCACGCCCCACCCTGGGGATGGAGCCCGCACCCCGTGCAGGTGCCCTAATGGGAATCGAACCCTGACCTCCTGGCTCCTGGGTCGATGCTCAGCCACTGAGCCAGGCGGCCGGGCGCCTCTCGGGTTTTGAAGAATCGGGGCCTCCGCCCTCCCTGCCTGCCCAGGGCTTCAGCTCAGCCCAGTCTCTGTGGGAGAGGGACCGCCTTCCCTGGGCTGTGTTTCCTCTCCACACCCACCACCGTCCTCAGCTCCAGACCCTGCTTCCGGGTTCCCCTCCGAGCCCTGGAGCGGGGGTGGGGGTGGGGGTGGGGGTGGGGGTGGGGGTGGCGCTCGCAGAGCCGCTGGGGCTGGCTCTGTCTGCAGAGTGGACGAGGCCCAGCCGCTGTCACCGGGCCACACGTTGGCGATTCAGGTTGGCAGCTAACTGCGTGCTGCAGCGCTTTGTAATCAATGACAGTCCTTCATGGCGGCCAGGACGGCTGTAGGATGCCCCTGTCCCAGGCCCCACGCATGCACGTCAGGGCTCCTCTGAGGAGAGCCACCGCCAACAGGCACACACCTTCCCAAGAGCTTGAGCTGGGGTTCACAGTGTGTATGTATTTGGAAAGATCATGTTTGAAGTAAAATAACTTTATCAAACTGGTGAACAACAATATTGTGTAATTGTAAGCGTATAGAACTAGTAACCAATTAGGCCATTTAAAAATAAATATATTTTATTGGTTTTTTTATAGAGAGGAAGAGAGAGGGATAGAGAGTCAGAAACATCGATGAGAGAGAAACATTGACCAGCCGCCTCCCGCACACCCCCCATTGGGGATGTGCCTGCAACCAATGTACGTGCCCTTGTCGGGAACCGAACCTGGGACCCTTCAGTCTCCAGGCCGACTGACGCTGTATCCACTGAGCCAAACCGGCCAGGGCCTCCTCGCCTTTCTTTAAGCCTTGACCCACTCAAGGAAGAGCCCAGAATCGCCACCGACAGAGGCTGTGTGCACTTTGCCATTTCTAGTTGTCTTTCTGCCCCTTTGCGATCTCACCCAAGGGGCTTGCCTGCCTTTGGATCTCGTCTATTTCAACTTAAAATCGTATTAGAGGGGGTGGGAGAGGCCTAGCTCACAGCAATTCTAGGGAGGCAGCTGGGCCGGGCATCAGCCTCATGGCCAGACACGCACGCAGACACACACACACACTCACACACTCACACGCGCGGACCCGCGCTGACTCAGAGGAACTCCACAGCGTCCTCACCCGGTTTCCACTCGATGCCCATGTCTCCCCGGGATGCTCGCCCCAGAACAGCTCCTGGCAGGCTGCCCGGGAGCCTAGGAAACCGAGGCGTCTCCTTATCCCGCACCCGCGGGCCGGTCCGCTGAGCCGCACGCCCGCTCTGTGCCAGCCCTTCCCTGCAGGGCCGGGCGCGGCTCCCGCAGCCTCCGGCGCTCCCGTCTGGAAAGAGGGCCGCCCGGGACGCCGGCGGGCACCTCTGGGGCGGGGTCAGGGTCACACGAAGAGCAGGTGCGAAAACCACTCGATTCCTGAGACAAAGGGGGCGAGGAGAGGCGGCAGCGTCACTTAAAGTGGTAAAAGCAGCGTGCGCGGGGACACCCCGCTGCGGGGGGGCTGAGGAGCCCACACGGCCTTCCTGCCGTGGAGCCCCGAGAGCCCTGGGTTCAAGGCCCGGCTCAGCCACTTGCCGGCCGGGGAGCCCAGGCAAGTCACCTCAGCTTTGGGCCCAGCAGTGTCTTCATCTAACGGGCGATCAGCCCTGGCTGGGGTGGCTCAGTGGACAGGGCGTTGGCCTGGGGACTGAAGGGTCCCGGGGTTCCATTCCTTACGGTCAAGGGCACATGACGGGGTTTCGGGCTCCATCCCCAGGGTGGGGCGGGCAGGGAGGCCGCCGATCCCTGATTCTCTCTCGTCATCGACGTTTTCTTCCTCTCTCCCTCTCCCTTCCTCTCCAAAATCAATAAAAATATATATATATATTCAGTGAGGACAATTATGTGATACCATTATCAATAAAATTAAACAAACAAACAAAAAACACTAACTCATTGGCACTGAAGTATAAATGTAACCAGTATCCACCTCCTTTCTCTGATTTTTTAACAAGATTTTCCTGGCATTAATGTGTTCCAGAAAAAAAAATTTTTTTTTTCAAAATAAATAAAAGAGGGGTTTTCTCGGGTGTTGTGGGGGTGCAGAATGCCGGGTCTGAGGAGGGTGGCTCTTCGGGGTGCTTCCTCGGGATGGGGGGCGTGCAGGGAACACAGCAGGGTGACCCAGAGGGGGGCCTGGCTCAGAGGGGCCCCGCCCACCTGCAGGCCCCACCTGCCACCTGGGCCTGGAGTTTGCCGAGCCGCCAGGCCTGTTGGTCCTGCGTGTTTGCCCAGTGCCAGCTGCCCGGCCGGGAGGTGATGGATCGCCCCTCTGGGCTGCGGGGAGGAGGCTCCGGGTTGTCACATTAGCGCTCGCGGCTCCGGTCGATAATGGACTGGAGGCTCCGGGCGGGAGAGGGCCGGGTGCCCCGGACGCTGCCCCTGGAGCCCTGCCCAGAGCACCTGGGCCAGCAGAGCCCCCGGCGGGCACCGGGAGGCACCGGCAACCTCATTCTCTCCTCCCCACCGTCGGGAAGGAGTCCCGTGGAGCCCTGCCCGTTTCCAATATAAATAATGTAATTCCCCGCCTGCCCGCCTGCCTCCGGGGGAGGGGCAGCCTTGATCTGCAGGAATTAAGTCAGAAAACAAACGTGGAGAAGGCTGAGGGGGTGCGGGAGGCCCTGAGAGAGAGGAGTCAAACTCCTGCCAGCCAGCGGAGTGGTCCAGTGGGACCGCCTCCCCCCCCCCCCCCCAATCTCCCTGAAGTCTCCCTGTGTCCCCAGCCGAGGCCCCAGACATCCTGGGCCCCAGCACACACCTGCCCTCCCTCCCCATCAACAAGGGCCCGGATTGCAGCTGCAGGATTGTCAGTAAAGAGGATTCTGGGATCGGCTGCTGAGAGGGACCCTGGGCTGGAGACGGCCCCCCACCCCCACCCCATGGGAGGGAGGGGTCCTGGGTCTGGCAGAACCTGCCTCCCCCCCCCCCATGCATTCTGGTCCCCCCACCTCTCCGCCCCAGCTGTGTGGCCTGGAGCACGTCCCTTCCCCTCTGGGCTTCGGCGTCCTCGTCCTCCGCTCGGATGGGCCAGGCTGGGACCGCAGGGACTCAGGCCCCTTTCTGCCCCAGCCGCCCTCGGAGGCACATCTCCACTGGCATCCCTCCCGCTGGTCTCCCAGGCGCCCTCTGACCGGCCTCACCGCCCGGGGAGCCAAGAGGGGACTGGCTGGCCCAGCGTCCCAGTGGGGCGGCCACAGGCACACACTGGACCGGCACCGGGTGCCCTGTCCCGACAGCCAGGCTCATGCTGGCACACGCTGGGGAGTGGAGATGGCTGTGCCAGCCCCTGCGTTAATGGGAAGGGCGGTGGGCATCGCCACTCTGGGCTTCCCGCTGCCTCCTCCTTGGAGCTGGAGGATGGGTGCTGGGCCTGTGGGGACAGTAACTGGGCCCTAGAACCCAGGGGGACCTCCCTCCCCGCCTGCCCTCCCAGCCCAGCTCCGGGCGGAATCAGTAAGTCCTCCCCATTAGCCGCGGAGGGAGGCAGCCTCTCATCCCGACCGGAGTGCATTTGCATTGACACCTGGGGAGCTGCGTTCGTTGGCAGAGAAGGCGCATTGCTATTCTGAGCAGCACGCTGCAGACGCGTTGCAGTGTCCTCACCTTTTATTAATACGGCTCCTCCCCCTCCTCCTCCTCCTCCTCCTCCTCCTCCTCCTCCTCCTCCTCCTCGGCTTTCCTGGGGAAGGCGGGGGAGGAGCAGCTGGGGATGCCTGGCCTCCCCAACCCAAGAAGGAAGGTCCCAGAAATGCAGAGAAGGGGGGCAGCTTCCAGGTGGGGGAGCAATCTCCCCATGAGGCTGGCTTGTGTGCTGCCCCCCAACTCCGAGAGGCCTCCAGGGTCCGGGACGGCCTCCATCCCAGCCAAACTCAGGGCCCCTGTGGGTGGAGGTCCGCGGAGGCCAGCCATGCCGGGCGCCGGGTGGAGAGGCCCAGGAAGGCAGCCGTGGGGGGCGGGGGCGGGGGTGGGGGTGGGGACGTGGCCCCCTGAGGCAGGGAAGGGCCCGGAGAGGCAGGTCACTCAGGGATGCTCCTCGGGGCTGGCGGGCCGGAAGCCGCCATGTGGAGGTCACAGTGCGGCAGGCGGGCCTGGCTCAGGGGCCGCCCCATGTCTGTCCCGCAAACATGGGCCCTGACCCTCGGGCACCAGGACTGTCTCGGCCGCCTCGCCTCCCGTAGGGCAGTAGCTCCTCCGTGCACCTTGGGAAACGTTGATCGGGGCGGGTGGGGGTTTTTAGGTCTCATGTCCGGAGACCCAGGGTCTAGATGGGGAGCCAGCGAAGGCAGGGGAGACCAAGCGCAGGGCCCCGGCCCAGGCCCTCCACCGCTTCCCGCTAGTCTTTCTGGGGCCCGGCTCCCCCCCCCCCAAAGTCCAGGCCTGGATTGGACACGAGCCCCCCTCCCTCCCTCCCTCCCTCCCTCCGGCCTCCACGGCTCAGGAGCTGAGGGGGCTGAGAGCCAAGGTGAGCAGGGAACCTCCCCCTCCCTGAACCCCCACCTCCTGGTCCCCCCCAGGACACAGGGGAGGGGGGTGCAGGGCAGACAGCAGGGCCCAGGTCCCATCTCCTGGGGGTGAGGGGCCAGGCAGAAACGAGGGGTGCAGGGGAGGGGGCTTGGCCTCTCCACCCTCCCATTCCTCTCCCCCATGACG